GGGATGTCCCCCTAGTGGCCAATCTAAAAAAACTACAACAAAAATGACAAGCCACCCTCTGATTAATGAAATAAGTTAGTATCGGTTCATGGTATCGGTTAACTTTTACGAGTATGAGTACACACACATTTTACAGTATCGGCCCTGATACCCGATACCAGTATTGGTATTGGTGCATCCCTAATATTCATGTAACCACAATAAAGAGCAGTGCTATGGGGGAGCTAACTAAGAGTGACTGGGGTTCGAGCGTCAGGAGCAGTCACAGTTCTCTCCCTCGTGCACGAGATCACACAAAGAGCTCTGCCTGGTTTCCAGTGCTTTTTGCCATTGTAGTAGAATTGTCTCTAATTATTCCAGCGAGGGGTTTGTGCTAGACAGACCTATCAACTACCTGTCTTAGGTGTAGGATTTGGTTTAGGTTACCATCTTAAAATCCACCCGGTCAGTGCCAAACCAGCTACAGTTAGGTTTGCCAACAAATATTCTGAATTTTATTCTGCAATCAAATATTTAAAACATTTGCTCGATCACAAAATTTGTGAGTGGGGTGTGGGGGTGATACCCTTGGCAGAACATAATGCAAAGCTGGATTTTCACAACAAACGTTGTTAGAGACTGTGCTGCTGGGGAGCTAACAGAGTACTAGCCACCTTTACTTTCAAAACCACATACTGTGTGTCAAAGTCAGAATAGGTGTGTGGTGTAGGACAAGGTGTAGCTCTCACTGCACCAGTCTTCAGACACACTGCTGCCAGTAAGAGGGAAAAGCGAGAGAGTGGTGAGTGATTACCATATCACCTAACACATAAGCTGTGAGAGACAAGCTATAAGCTGATGTAAGCATAATAACTGAAGGTAGATGGTTTTCAGTAATCTTTAGAGTAGTAAGTCTTTTAGAATACAAGTCTTTAGTTCTATTAACTCCTTTAGGCTGTATTTATCATTTATGTAAAACTATCCCAACATAACAGGTGGCTAATAATAAACCTGGGCTAGCATAATGGTTGTAGCATATGTTTGAAAATTCAAACCTTCCTGATTCTTACTGTAGGTCTTCTTACCCATTTTTTAAAACCTTTTGCTTATTTAATAATGTGTTGGTTTGAACCTAATTTGGACTTACTGAACATAATGAAAAATTAGGTCTTTTAAAGAAAACTCCAATACTAGTAGTGGTTGAACCAGGAAAGCTCTTTCTCCACCTCTTCCACCATCACCACCTCCATCTCACCTCAGATAGCAGTGAGGTGTCACCTCCCTCTTTCACACATCACTCAGCACATTTATCACACACAGTTCCTTTTTTGTCTCTCTGTGCTCACCTGGCCTCACTCTCATACGCAACTATATTTTGTCTTATAAGGACTGCCACAAAGAAGAATAGAGAACAAAGCTGACAATTCTGCAGGCACAGAAATTGTTGCCCCGATTATGTCTCATTACTCACTTTCTTTAAAGCTTCAAAGGCACGCATGTTTAAGACTGCACACACTCTGAGCGTGTATTGGCTCAGTGCAGATATTTATACATAAGTGTGCTGTGACTGTTGAGATTCATTTGAAATGCTTTAGTGAAACCAGGAAGTGAGTGTGATAGATTAATTTGAGCTTTGCGAAATTACACAAGGGAAATTGGAGCAAAAGCTTTTTAAGCTCCCTCAGCAATGGAATGTAATTACATTACATAAACATGTTCGTACACTGTCACGAAATGACAAATCTGAAGCACCGAGTTGGGATTGTTTTCGAAGAATGATAAAGCTCAAAAATAACATGCAGATCTCGCTCTTATAAATGGATCGATTTGAAGCAGACAGTAATAAAAGTCTCAGACTCTGACAGAAAACCTGACTCTTGAGCTCAATCATGTCACTTCAAGGTGCAGTGTCCACCACCAGTTTATTCTGCTGTTCACATAATCCCAGAGTGGAATAACTCCTTTCTCCTCACACTGAAGTAAATTATTTACTGAAAATGAAGCAAACAATTGCAGGGATTTATTTATCTAGAAGCCTCAGATTTATATCAAGCTCCCTGCTGTGAAACAGTACATTGCAACTATTTGATTGTGCTGGATTATTGTGTTTGTGACAAGATAAAGCCCATCTACAATAAGCTGCAAATTAAAACTGAAACTGTTCTGGTTGCGGCAACCAGGCAGGAGTTTCACAGTTTCACTGGTGCGTGTCTTGATTTAGTGATTAAATAGACCAATACAATATTTGCGCTGCAGTTTTAAATAATTGTATAATTACTTTTGATGCATAAGCTTATAGCTATAATATAATGTGTGCATTATTAGTTTAATTACTTTACCATACAGTCACAATAAATACACATATTTGGACACATTACCTAAAAATCTAAACCAGGCAAGGGAAATAAATGATGAACAACAAAAACTATACTATTTTTTTTATGTCTTTCATATATACTTTCAATGCAGGATCCTCATATAAAAAAGAAAGCCCACCCTTTTTTATGTATCAGGGTAAAATGAGAAATTATTTGGTTCTAAAACAATTTAAAGAGAACATCAGCTGAAGAATAACATGAAATATTTTACTATGTAATTATTGTATTGTTTTTCAAAAACTAAACCAAAATCCAGAAACAGGATGGGCAGTATAGTCTCAAAATTGTGAACATTTTATGGACTCTTCAAGTTTATAGCCTTTATAAGTGCAAGTAAATGAAGACTATTTTCGATCCATCTTTCCCAAACATCTACTGTCACTGAGGACAGATTTCCTCATTTGAATTTGAATTTCCATTGAAATAAGGTCCCATTGTAGTGCAATATTAGTCGCATGTTTTAAATAAAAAATGTAGATTGATAACAGGAGTGTGTGTAAAACTTTGGTTTAATAATAACTAAAGTAAATACTGTATCTCGTAACTCTGAGCCGACAATATTATGACAGAATAAAACTGAAAAATATTTTCTATTTTCTGCTTTTACACCATTTAACTGCATTATTATTGTCCATCCAGCATATATTCTTCGTGTCATCTAGAGTGTAAGTAGCATGTGTAACCAGTGAGGCTGCTAGTTTTTTGTCCTTCACAGCCTGGTTCTGTGCAGCAGTATGTTTTTGCCTCAAGTGATGAAACATGTTCGCTAAGTTGTGCTGCCGTGCTCTGTTTAAAGAAAAGACCTTTCAGACCCTTCCAAATAGACTCTACTTGTTCAGTCTTTTTCTAACTGTTCTTTAATCTCCTAGGACCTGGCGTCCACATATGTGGATATCACATTTTGGGTTGTCTAGACCAAAATAGTCAATTTTGCTCTACAAGCCCATATGGAAAAGAAATAGTAAAAACTTTGCACAAGTCTTAGTAAAAAGACTTGCATAAGATGTGGCCTACTTCATATAGTGAATCATATAAGGCTTATATGATTTACTCATGAAAGTGGCCACGTTCTCATTACTTTCATATATTGTATTAGTAAGTATCCAAAACATACAAGTTTCATTTATATAATTTTTCAAGGGATCTTATATCTGTTTTCACTCTTGTATGCTTTTCATACAAGTTTCACACAAGACAGATACAAACTTTATAAGATTTATATATATTTTTTCCATATGGAAAGGCCTGATATCCACTATCCACGAGGACGTTCTACTGCCACTGTTCTGTCGAAATTTAAAGTGAATGTCCTCTTATGTGGATCTCGTTTTTTCTCAGAAATAAAATCAGGTAAAAAAAATAAAATCACGTTATTCTTTGTTTTTACATTCATCAGGTCCCAATCAGCCCAAATAGAATAGAATAAAAATGCATGCCATGAAAGAGTTTGGGTCTTAGGAGGTTAACAATGAAGTTTAACATCTGAAAAGTAACTTTTGATTCATTTCCTTTATTTTATTTATTTTTGTGCTTTTTCTTTGATCATTGCACAATCTTACCTTGGGGTGAAAATGCCAGAACACCCTCTTCTGGGAAGATTAATAGCTGTGTTAAATTGTGAATAATTAAATAATTAAAATAATTAATCTTAATGTTTTATTAATGAATTTTGTTGTCATTGCCTTTTTCTCTCAGAATTGCTTTTAATTTCGTTTTTAGTTTGCTTGACATCATCACTGGTGTGATAACGTTGACCTACCTCAGGATGCCTTCAGCAACCATTTCTGAAAAGAGAAAAAGTTATAATGTACCAGTGGCATTATAACTTTTTTTTTATGTAGTCTGTGGCAGTAATGGCTAATATAACAGGAACAGGTTTAAGGTAATTGTGGAAACCCCATTACCCAGTGACACATCTTTTTATTTCTCATTTGAAACAGTTCAATTTTTCTCAACAAGTCACCTTTTACCTGGGTGAAGCCAGGAGATGCATATTTTTCATGTTTCTGTTTGCATCAGACCCTTATAGCATGTAGCATTATTTGGTCATCCCTTGCCTTTGCTGGGCTGCGCTGCGCTGCTGTATCATTTGGCACCTTATACATCAGTAGTTCTGCCAATACTTTCAACTTAATAATGAATGGTTGTGTAACAACAACCAACAGGCTTCTATTATAATCTGACTTCCGTGTGATAGACTAATGCTTACTCACTTTTATTGTTCCAGCAGGCTTATTGAATTCCTCCTGTGCAATTTTTCTTGGACCATTGCATTATCTCCAAGCTCTTGTCACTGTGACGTCTTGTTTGTGCTGTACAATCTGATTAATTAAAAAATTAGTACAGAACAGCATCAGTCCTGTCCGCAGCTGTGAGGTGGGTTCATATTAAAATGTAAAGCAAATAGAACAAAAATGAAATTTGGTATCAAAGAATGTATAGTGAGAAGCAGGACATTTGCTTTGAAGTTACTGGACTCCTGTGCCTTCCATGGTATAATACTTTAATTGCAGCTAATATCTAATACCTCTGAATTCTGTGCAGGATGGCCGTGTGGCCTTCATCGGGCACCAGCTGGGCGGTGTGTCCTTCTCACCCAACAGCCGTGACCAGCAAGTCAAGTTTGCTCGTGCTGTCCAAATCACATACTACCTCCGAAATCATGGACCCGTGGTGCAGGATGCTATTGCAGAGCGCTGGGAGAATGAGTTCTGTGCCCTGGCCAGTCGACTGTCCACAGCCGAGGTCCCCCATGCACCAGACCAGCTCCACATCCAGTCACTCACATCCTTCAGTCTGTGGCGGGACTTCCATCAGACGGGCCTGCTGGCCAAGGGTGAGGTGTTGGTCAGTCTGGTGCTGGTGCTCCTGGCCGCCACCATCTCCAGCTCTATGCGGGACTGCCTAAGGGGGAAACCTTTCCTGGGACTCCTGGGTGTGCTGACCATCTGCATTGCCAATGTGACGGCTGCAGGGATCTTCTTCATATCAGATGGGAAGTTCAACTCTACATTACTGGGGATACCATTCTTTGCAATGGGTGAGTGGCAATATGGGTCATAACAGAAAATGTGTGTTCATGTGTGTGTGTGTATACAGTTGGGTAAAAATGCTTATCTTAGGTTCACACTGATAGTGAGTTGATTGTGGTTTGCAAATTGTGATGGGCAACACTGCTGCAAAGTAATAAGCATAATATGTGTGTCTCCAAAAGTTGATTCTGTTCATCTGGACGTAGCGTTTTCTGGGAGAAACGTTTCGTCACTCATCCAAGTGACTTCTTCAGTCTCTGAAGTCACTGAGACTGAAGAAGTCACTTGGATGAGTGACGAAACGTTTCTCCCAGAAAATGCTACGTCCAGATGAACAGAATCAACTTTTGGAGATTTATTTTTCCTGGATGATTGAGAATGCATCAAGATGATATGTGTGTGTTTGGCTGATCTTTATCACCACAACCTTTCTCAAGGCAATCCTATCCTTACTGAACAGAATTTCATGTTGAACTCCATCAAAATCCAAACCAGAATTTACCATGAAGTCACGTCCAATATAATTAAAATCTAAATTTGAATTCAAAGTTATGTTTAACTCATGGCACATTTCAGTCATTTGATAGTCTTGATTCACTGCAGGAAACTCCTTTTTGTGTTTTTTAAAACTTTTTTGTCTGAATCATGAATGCCCAAGTCATCAACATTCACGAGTTTCTACTGCAGTGATGTTGTGGGTTTTATTTTTTAAGTGAATGAGTTATTGTTTGCAAATGTATACATACCACCGTGTACAGTAAAAAAAAAAAAAGACATTTACTCTTTTCTCTGTAGAGATCACACTGAAGTCCCATCCAAACCAGAGGGCAAAGCAAGTTTACTGAAATACTGTGAAGGTGCATCCTTATCTGGTAGCACAAGACTAATTAACGCCTTAAAGCTTTTGTGTGATGAGACTCACTACCAATAAGTTATGCCCATGAGGTCCAAGTCATCCTTGGTGATGACTCTATCCTATGGGATTATGTCTTTATTTTAAAAATTGTGTTCCAGAGTCTTAGCAATGAGACAAAAAACATTCTAACATTCTAACTGAAAATCAAAAATGTATTTCCCCCTTTTTTTTTTTTTTAAATAAAAAAACCCTACAAAAATCAAACAGTTTGCTAACATACTAGCTTGCTGTTCCTGTTAGCTAAGGCCATATACATCTTTCAAATAACAAACTATAGTATAGGATGCCAATGCAGTAAAATGTTAATGCAATGTAAATCTAAGATGTAATATTTTCAAAAAGGCTAGAAACATTTACTCAGTATTTCATGGTATCGTAAGTTACATGTTGTAGTGGAGAGTTTTCCCCTCCAGCAGGCTTGTTTTTGTTTTGTATTTTTTGTTTGTTTGTTGTTTTTTGTTTTTTAGAAAATTACAGAATATGTCTCGATTGCATAAAGTGTCATAAGATTTTTTCCCCCTTTTCAATCCTTTCAATTTTATTATAAAAATGGAAAGCAGTACAATACAATATCAGTATTTTAATCCTTGACATTGACAACTAAAAATGCAGGTACTGAACATTGAAAATTAACATAAATATTACTTCAAAAAGTGACCTGAATCACATTGTTTCTTAATAACCAGTTATCAGTATAAACCTTAAGCTACAGTCCCACACACCAACACAAATCCCTATCCTTATGAAGACACACATATGATCTTTGTTTTCAAACTTACCTATGAACATAAAGTCGACAACACCAAGCAAAGATGAAAACCAGCACAAAGAGACTTCAAAGCGATTGCCACACTGACTATACTTTAGAAATATGAACAGGTAGAATTGGAGGCTGCGGCCTGACTTCTAATCAGTCTGTTACCTGTTGAAGTTCACTCTGGCTGCTGGCTGTTAGATGTACACTTAGCTTTATCATCACTCATTTTTGGCTAGCTTTGCGTTGGTGTGAAGATAACTAAAGAAACCTTGTAACATGATTAATGATAGAAATGTAACTGTGATGTTATTAATGAATTTAGTTCAGTAATGGGTTGCTGTGTTATTGAAAAATGTAGTGTGATTACAATAACTCAACAGTGTTTGCCAGCAGAAAAACTGCTGAATCAGCAACAAAGGTATTTAGGTATTCTTGATGCCAAATTGGTTATCCAGTTTTGGATGATGTGGCAAAGAACAAAGATTATTATTGGTTTGTAAAGGTAGGAGTAGGGCTGGGCAATATGGCCTAAAATCCATATCACGGTATAATTTGAAGCATGTATCAGGGTCATTAGCATCCTTATGTATGAATTCTGACCTCGAACTGATTTTATGTAGTACACGGCGCGCAGAAATATGTCAAAAAATGTTTTAGTACAACTTCGGTAAGCTATGAAGGATGGATTGCCAGAGCATTACAGCTGCTGTAGTCAGAAACCTTGCAGAGTAATCTGGGTCCAAAACTCCGTCTGCTTCAGGTCCCAAAGTCAAACGAACACTGCGGCATCACTGAGAGTTAAAAACTGTCTAAATTCTTTCATCTTTTATTATTATTAAAATATTAAAATTATTATTAAAATTATTAAAATAATCAGCGTTGCTGCTTTACCAGGTGTAACAATTAAGTTTAACATCCAGGCATCCATGAAAACAGAATTTATTAAATTCAACTTTGTTAGAAGTTGGCAGGAAGTTAGCTCGCTAGTTTCCACCTAAACATGATATGCCATGTTCTGACTGAGAGATTTCTGAAAAAATTAAAACATACAGCTCTGCTATCCCTTCAAACATAAATGAAGACAGAAAACTAAACAGCAGTGACTTTTGTAGGGTTACTGAAGTTGGACTAGCTGGTATGTAATGATGTCCTACGTGATCGGTAGCAAAACAGCTATGTTAGCATAACATAAGCACATTGAAGCTGAAGGACGAATGCTAACTTTTTTCCACTCGATAAAAGTTAACGTGAGGGTTTCTGGTGGTTAGGGACAAATGCACTTGCATGGCAGGATGCTATAAACGGACCAAACTTCAGTTAGGAGAACAACTGAGATAATCCATCTACAATATGAGGTTAGTGGTTAATATGCTGCAACAACATGGGAATAAAGCAGCTGCGAGAGAATTAAAGATTAAAGAAGCATTAAAGAATCAATGGTACGGAAGTGGAGGAAGTGCAGTTTTTGGCTTTCCCCATATTCCAAAAGTGCTTTGTCTCTTTGCTATTACTGTCGCCCGGCATAATTTGCAGATGATGTTGTTTGCAGCCGCTGCAATGCTTTCGACCAAAACAGGCGCAGCCTGATGACATGCGCTATCAACATGCACTATTGCAGTAGAACAGTATAGTCAAAATCTCTACCGTTGGCCAAATTTATATAGTTTCTACCATATACCGTTTATACCGCCCACCCCTAGGTGGGAGGTGGTCTAGATTCTAGGTTAAAATGAAGGCTGGCAAAATAAGAACTGACTGAGAACTTATTTAAGGTACTTTTCAGGATTACAAGCTTAATAACATGCATCACATTCAAACATACATTAAATTTTCCTCCATCATATCCTCTCTTTCCTTATCCTTTCGTTCTTTAAATATACCTTGTCTATTTACTCTACAGTATATCTTTCTTCTCTATGTATTACTAAGGTCACCAGATCCCCAGAGCTTTGGTAGAGCTTGGCTGCATGCCAGCTGACATAACTTAAGTTTAAGTAAGACTCAGGAACAAGAGACTGGCTCAGCTCCCTCCTTATGACCTAGAGGCAGAGGAGAAGGAGAGGAGAGGAGAGGAGATGAAGGGCTAGAGGTGTGAAAAAAGCTAAAAAAAATCAAAGAGGAAAAAAAGAATGTGATTTATTGGAAAGAAAAAGCTCCCTTTTTTCTTTCCAATAAATCACATTCTTTTTTTGTCTCTTTCCTTTTCCTCTTTTCCTCTGCAGAAAGGTCGGACAGAGACTGAATATTAGGAGGGAGGAGAGAGGGGAAGAGGAAAAGGGAAGATGAAGATGATGAGGAAGAGGCAGGACAGAAGAAGGAGATGGAGAGGACTTGATGAAGTCTGTAATTTCATGTGACAGGGCCTCAGAGGTAGCAGATGTCCACCCTCCTTTTGGGAGGTTCTGACTGAGGCACACCCCTATCACTATATCAGTGCCACATCAGGACAGACACTGAGAACTGTAATAGAAACTGATACCAAATGTGTCATGCCAGTGTAGCACCCCCTGTGGACATATTTCAGTTAATTCAATTTTATTTATACAGCGTCAAATCAAAACAAGAGTATCTTATATTGTAAGGTAGACCCTACAATAATACATACAGAGAAAAACCCAACAATCAAGTGAGCCCTGTGAGTAAGCACTCTGGCGACAGTGGGAAGGAAAAACTCTGTTTTCACAGGAAGAAACCTCCAGCAGAACCAGGCTCATGGAGGGACAGCCATCTACATACTGCTCCCGGGGCGCCCAATGGCTGCCCACTGCTTCACAGAGTGAATGGGTTAAATGCAGAGAGGAATTTCCCCACGGAGGATCAATAAAGTATACAAAAAAAGACAAATCAAAAGACAAAAAGATATCAAAAGAAGAAAACCTTTTTCCTGGATCATCATTAAATTTTAACTTATCCATCCACTCATTTTTATTGAATTTTTGGTTATGTGATGTGCCCAAACAGAAAAGCTTTCAAAATGCATGTGGGAAACTTCATATGAAAGATAAGCATTTATAGTTTCTGAAAAAACTTCAGCATTTGGTTAAAACACAACAATATTTGGGAAAAAATAGGGCTTACCATTGTGCTGTTGAGTTTCTAAGCTACTACTGGGAGGTACCAGTCTGAGGTGTTTAACTGTGCCCCCTAGGCACATTAGGGGCTTAATATGAGGGCCCAACTGAAATCAAAATGAGATATCCCCTTTTGCAGTCAAAAACTTTTGAAGAACCAGAAAGCATATATGATTTACATACAGGATTTACACATGTGGTTACACATGCATCTACAGAGAAACAGTGTGTGGTCCATGTGGTAATAGAGCTCCCAGAAAACTC